AGTCGTTCATTTCGCTCGTGAACTGTTTCTTCGGTTTCACACGCTGCAATAATTAGTTCTGAAATAAATATTGAATAGGTCGAGTGGGTGGCTAATTTTGCGTATTCTTGGAGCTAAGAACGTCACTATTTCACAAGCTTTCGGATTCTCCTAGTACACATGACTCGCCGCCCATGACCAGGTCTAAAAGTGGCGGAGCGGGAAAATCAGCAAGTCCCGAGGAAACAAAATTGATGGTGAAGAAGGAATGCAGAATCTGTGGGCTTATGGCCAAGTGTGGTTGAGACGTGGTTTAAGAACAAAACAACGGCAGGGTGAACGGTTTTTACACAACACAATGCCAGACATAGCTAAAATATTCCATAGTGAGACGAGGGCAGATCTTGTACAGGTTGAGCAGTTGAGAGGAGTGAATTGGCGCTTCTCAAATCATTGGGATGAAGTCTTCTCCTCGGACTCACGCGATGCACGTCAAACGGTACAAGGCGACCGAATTGTGGAAGCAGCAAAAAAACCGATCGAATTAAAACTCAGTGGATTGCTTAACGAGGTCAGTGGAAGTCGACCTACAGATTAGGCTCATTATGGTCGTGAAGGGGGGTGGGGTGTTTGGGTTACGGCCGGTCACTCTTCCCTTGCACCTCGCCAAATGCTCCAATAGGGCCAAGCGTCCAAAATAGCCTCTGCTGACGAAGCCCTACTCATTGCCTTCTCGTGCTGGCGGAGGTGTTTTCACACCAAAATGAGAAAACGAAATGCCGACATCCGGAGCCATAGCCATAGGGTTGGTGGATTACTGGTAGTTTAGCTAGAGGAGTTGGCCAAAATCTCTGATTCTAAACCATACCCACACTTTTCCGGTTGTGGCAGTGGTCACCGGCTCGATTGGGTACCTTGTACGTTTGACTCCGTCCAAAGGGCGTATGCTCCGATGAACTGGACACCGATCCACAATGGATTGCGGTTTTCACACACCACATCACTACCTTGAAGGTTTAGCTTTGATTAACCGAAGGCTCCGGTTATGAATTCCACAAGAACAATGTGGCGATATCCCTCGCACAAGCAAATCATTGATTGATTTAATCAGTATAAAGATGGTTGTGACGTCCTTTACGATGCACAGTCTGAATCCAAACACATGCGAAGTCTAATTGAAAAAAATAAGTCATTCCAATGAAAAATTAGGTCCACTCCGCAATCGTTCGAAACCAACTCAGTTGAACGCTTGTACTACAATCGCATATATATGATAAGGGAAGCGAAATGATCAGATTTCTGATGGGAAAATATCAAACAAAAAATAGCTGACATGCAGTTCAGTAACCACCAATTTACCGTATAAGCCGAATTGCCCCGATCTTCTTCCCGTAGCACATTCCCACCTGCTGGGGAAATACCCAGGTCTAAATAATTACTGATCTTTCTCTCGCACACACACACACACACAACTTGCCTCTCTTTAAGATTCGAAAGTTAGCGATTGTAAAACAAATTCGTTGCCGCTTGGATCGCTGCGAAATTCCCAACGATCGTCAACGAGGATTCTGTTACCACGGGTTCACTGGGATACAAACTACACGTTTGGTCTTCCATCGGTGATTACTACAGTGAGGGGTAAATGGCCTTCCACTACTGCTTTAAGGTGTTCGACCGATTTCGGTATGACGGACTCCTGACGGAACTCTCAAAGTATGAGCCCACCGTGTTTCAGCCTTTTGAATGTACAGCCTCTCCATTTGTGGCCTTTCAATTGCAGGACGTGATGATAGTCATTTGGAGAACAATCCCAGTGAACTCCGACGTTCCGAAAGGTTCCGTGCCATCTTTCGCTCGATTCTTTCTC